CCACCCCAATGCACTTTTTATAGGAAGTTACATAATATACTTAAACAAAATGAGATAAAGAGAGAAAGAGAAGACACAGGGTCCAGAAATTGGATCCAGGACAGGAGAGTGACGAAGGCAGTTGTACACCAGGTCTAGAAAGTAACCAGAATGTACTGGAGGAGAACAGAAGGAAGATTTTTGGTTTTAAAAACAAACAAATTGATAAGACTGTCTGATATGTAGGAACAAGTAGAAAAAGTACTCTCAGCTTTTAGAGTCTTTCAGATAAAATTAGCAGCACGTAATAGTAAATTCAAGCAAATGAAAAAAATTGAGGTGCTTATTAACTAGATGAAAAACAATTGTGCTAGAAAGCAAAACAAATCACAGAACACCCTTTGGCTCAAAAGTGAACAATACTGAATAGTTATAATAATGCTAATACCAACTATTGATTTAACAAAAATTATCATGGAGCTATATTGGAAGGATGGTTGCAAGAAGGGTAGGGAAAGAGAACTAAACCCTCATGTATGTGACATACATATAGGTAATGTCTATTGTTCAATCTAAAAAAGCAGCATAAGCATATAATTGGGAATAAGTAGTTAAATCCCAGAAGAAAAAACGGTTTCCTTATTGTAAACTTGGTTGGAGGGAGGGTTGCAGGGAGTGTGTGGGTGACTATAGAACAGGGATGTGAACCACTATTTTTTGAAATTAGTCTCTTGGTACTATTTGATGTTTAAAGTATTACTCTAAAAATAAAAATTCTGATTTAAAAGCAAACAAGTCCCTGAATTAGCCAAACCAAATATGTCAGCAGCCCAGAAAGTTTAAATCCCTGAAGTGGAAAAATCCAACTGGTTTGGGAATCAGACACCAGGGTTCCTCTTTAGTTTTGCTAGTTTACAGGTCAATGTATCCTTGACCAGGTTACTTAACTCCTGAACCTGCATTTCCTCATCTGCAAAAGGAGGTTATAATCTCTCTGATGTCTATGAGTGCTTTGTGAGCTACAAAATAAATGTATAGTGTTAACCACTATCTGGTATCCTACAGTTAAAGATACTGAGGGTCAGACTGGGCTCTGCGAAGCTCAGGCTTATCTAGAGAAAGATATTTGAACATCTGCATTGCACAGGACAGGGCCACAGAGGGCTCAAAGGGGCCAGGACTCTGGGTGCTAGCAATGCAGCACCTGTATCCTGAAACGACTGCCTTACTGAGTTGAAATTCAGCTCAAGGGTCACACTGAAAAGAGCAGGCCAGCCTCCAACAGTGCAATGCATTTTGTGTCAAAGCTCCCAGGTTAATTATAAAGAATCTGAATCCTTCGAGGACGTTTCCTTACATCATCATCTTAGCTTAGGTAATGCAAGTGCCTGAAATAGAAACGAAGTACGTACGGAAGAACTCCGTGAGCACCAAACTTACAAGTTTGCCTTCTAAAGCTAATTACAGAAAGACAGAATCACAGAAAAGAACTGGAAGGTCATGAATCCACCTCCCACCTGATGTTGCAATCTCCTTTACAACCTGCCCTCCTCCCGCGGGTTCTGGGCTCTCCCCGAACCCGCTGGAGCTGGGGGCACACGGGGCCCCTTTAAGTCAGGCCATGCTGACCAGCAACCACAGGAGACTCTGGTCCTAATTCTTTTTGTTGAGCTGGAATTGGCCTCTTCGTAGCCCCCACCCTTCATGCTGGTGAACAACCACCAACCACCACCACCACCAACCCTCAGGAGTAAAGAGAACAAGTCTCCACTCTCTTCCACCTTTGGGATCTTTAGGGACAAGTCCCTCACCCCATTCTCCAGCCCTCCCCTCCCCAGCGCACTAACGGTAGGGGAGGGCGTGTTCTCTTCCCTTCCTAGCAGCGGATGAAGAGAATGGGGGTTTTATCCGGCTCCCGGGGGGCCCTGTCAACCGACAACCCTGAAAGGGCAGGACGGCGGCGCTCACTGCACCTGCCGCGTGTTCAGTCCCCAAATCCCCACCGAGCGCCTACTAAGTGCCGCACGGTCCTCAGCGCCAAGCAGAGCCCCAGCCGCACGCCGACCTCGGGCGGGGGGAATAAAGCCCGAGCTTCCCTGCCGGCCCAGGCCGCTCGGCGCGCCGGGGCAACGGCCCTTCCCTCCCCGGGGAGGCGCGACTGGAAGTCCGGGTGCCAGGGCCGCACGGGTCCCCGGGGACCCAGCCTCCCGCGCCCCCGCGGCGCCGGCCCACCCCGACCCCGCGCCTGGCGGAGGAGCGGGAGCGGCGCGGACTCACAAGGACTCCAGGTGCTTGAGCTGCTGCAGCTGCTGCGCGTCGTGCCGCCGCCGCTTCTGCTCCCGGCGCCGCTGCAGCTCCTGCTCGGCCGGCTCCCGCA